AGGGGAGTAGTGGCAAGTGGCCCGCTTACCACTTGGACGGTCCAGACGTCTAATCCCGGATCGGCTCCACGCCCACGCCAGCTAAGCCTTCTATTTTCCGGGATAGGGTACCACATATGTCTGTGATGACAAAACACTGATTCTTACATCGGGTGGTCCTCGCAGTAAATAAGACGCTACGACTGAATAGAGTAGAACGTGGGCCGTATCCGAAAAAAGATGGATAAAGGTGGAGACATCATCCTTTATCCTTTATCCTTTTATTCCTTAGGCAATGCGCTCCACTGAAGTTCGGGCCATGTTTGTCATTTTTTGCGTTAAGCGTGATTTCTGGAAGGAGGGTAACGCTTTTGGTCGATCAATCTCTGGGCATGCGCCATCATCCTACTTCAAGTCTTGATCATAGTGGCACTATGAGTACGATGTGGCTTGTACAATGAGTTGTGGGGCTAGTCGGTGTATAAATGAGCATGTTTTGTTTTCTTCGACAACTCGGGTACTGTCCTCCAAGAAACCGCTGAGGGGGCAGAGGTACCCCTGAAGAAGGATAAAATTAACAATCGAGAGCATTTTTCTTAGAAGCAAATACGACTCCCCCTCGCTCTCCAACGGCCAAATGCGACCCCCCCCCCTCTGGGAATCCCGACGTACGACTTGCCGTACTAGTGATTACCTAAACTGTGGTGGTCATTGAGGATGACGACCACCTTCGCTTGAATAGCCAAAGACTGCGGTCGGAGTTTTGATTCTAGGGAACGCTTTCAATAACGGCATCCAGGATCCCGTATAACACGATTTCTTCCGTGTGTTAACCCAAAAAGGAAAGCTAGCTGTGTGACGTAAATTCAACTTTTGGAAATTTTCTCGGATTGCATAATTTATGCCTATAACCACGATTCTCAGTTCAGCATCGTATCAGCTTCGACATGTATTCGATTTTTATAATACCTTTGCCATAAGAACAATTCCTCGCTTTGCTGCCTTTTTGCTTAATTTTGCTACTTGTTACTCTATACCGGACTATAGTTCACTTTTGAATAACATCCGTCTTCTGCTAAGTTTTCTTCTCTTAAGTGATATTTATCTCTCATTTATTCCCATTTCTGATTAGTGTTATCGATCGCTCGCTCGAGTATTACTTGAAGGGCTTCATATGACTCGGCTATTTGTGCGCCGAGTGTTTGTATTTGGAGATAAGGCTCTGCTTGACGGTCAGTTCCCAGTTTTATGGAGAATTGATTTTTTGGGTTCTCCATGCAGTCTGGTGATTGATCTTTTTTTATTTGAATTTCAGTTCGATTTCATGCTTTTGTTTACACTTTATGTTCTGTATTGAGTCATGTAGTGAATCACATGGGACAGCTATGAAAAATGTGAAGAGGGCGGTGGTCGGCACCAGCGTGGTTGGAAAGGGGGGGGGAGGTGGCGTCTCAGTATCCTTCCTTTAAAAGGCTTGGTGTGAAAGCGCTGATGACTAGAGTCGCTTAAAGATAGTTTTGCAAAAATGACATAGCTCCCGGTAAGTCTAAGCGTGATTTGAGAGGGAATTTGGAGGTGCTGGCCGAGTGCCCCCCCTCCCCCACTCACATCACAAAGAGACTGATGTCTACTTGGCAGCTGGTTTTCCTGGCGAGGAGTAGGCAAACTCAGTTCAGTACTTGTGATACGCCTCTAACCATTGCGTCTTTTAACTATTATCTCTGGCCCTAGTAAACGTGGAGGGCATTTGGAGAACTCTCTGTACAGAGCTGGGAGCCAGCAATGGAGACGAGGGTGTTTGGCCAACCACAAGCCTTGTTCAAGGGATGCTGGGAGGGGGAGGGGACAGGAGAGGAGATACTAACTTCACTAAATTCAGCTATTGAAAACATAGTGTCAACTCTCGAGCACAGAAAGTTTCTTGTCAACTCATACAAAGAAGTGCAAGTCTCAGGCCCACTGCGACCCCTCTCTCTTTAGCGATCAAATACGACCCCTCCTTCCGGCGACCGAATAAGACCCCCGCTGTGGATTCTCAGTACGACGTGCCCCTAAAGTGAAGATATGTCGACTTCAAAATACAGTTCAAAACACTCCAATACAAACAAAAGCAACTAGAGTAACTTTAGAAGAAGGAAAGAATCCAAGGGCAGTTTAAGAGGAATATGTCGAAGAAAACCCTCAGATAATGGCGAACTGTTTGATGAAACCAGATAGAGTTGTAGGAAAAAAGATACTTCTAATTCGATGACGGTTGTTCACATTTGCCTGAAATGCCCATTTTTCTTTCTCTCCTTCTCGTTTTCGTCTTCAACCTCGCAGTCTATTCAATCTGTTTGGACATCCGAATTCGCAGGGATATTCAGCCTCCTATTACATGAGGATTTCTGGAATGTACAGGGATTTTCGATCCGATAATATGCTCTGGTAATCTGTACGTACGTGTAACACCTATGAAAGTGCCATTTTGGATCAGTCTTAATCATTGATGCCATTAATCATTGGCGGTGGTACTTGTGTAATGTTGTGATGCTTTGTTGTTGTTTCTTCGCCGACTTTGCTGACAGTCTCGTTCACAGTTGATTCAAGCGTACTTTTCGACGTGTCTTTTAGTATATTACGTACTTGCCATTATACTATCAATACATCTACACCAACTTTTCAGGTACAACCTACGGGGCATGAGAACAGTGGATTTGGAATAGTGTGTGACCGGTATTCTGCGATCACTCCGTGTACGATAGTGTCATCTAGTCTGTGTGCGTGTGCGTGGTGTGCTGCCTCCAGGATAAAGGAGTTGGTCTCCTATAAGAAGGTTTGTAAGTTTTTTTTCCCAAGTAAAAAGAAACGGCGCAAATCGACTACGGGGGGGGCATCCTGCACTTTCGCTGCTTCACTACTTCCGGTTTACATGTCACTCTAGTGAACCCTGTGAACTCTTGTGAAGCTGGTGCAAGCTCGCTGAGCAACTATGGTTAACCCTGTAAGCTCAAGAAATGGCTCTCCACAGGGGTCAAGACGTCGATAGGAAGTAGCAAAAGTGCGAAATGCCCCCCCCCCCATCGCCGAATGCCCCGAAAAAAAAAACATAAAGCATCATCAATTCGTCAACTATTTATTACTTTGCATTTTCTATTGCTTTCTATTTTCTGGTTCTTTTCTAAGCGAAGTCCAGCACTGTATGCCGTTATTTTTGTCGCAACTGCCAAAAAAACAGGACCGTCTTCCAATTCGAACACATTCACAGGGCGACAGGTGGTACGTTGGCACCCATCAGCGCCCGTATCCCAGCGTCAAAGCATAGCGATAGGATACGTCATCGGAGGATTCAAATTAGCTCCGCTTGTTCGAGCCGAAAATAGCCTGCGCTGGGAGACGTCTAGGCCGGATACAATCAGGTCCTGAAATTACTTGATTTGACCACAAGGCAGCACGTAACCCAGGTATATCTTGTTCGCTGTGACGATGAAGTGTCAAAGGGGAATGACTTGGCATAGCGCAGCCGTCTCTTTCTTATTTTTTTCGGAACATCAGTACTTATCATAGCGTTTTCCACCAATTATTGTCGCTTATCCGTTTCCAAAACCTGTGGAAAACGGGCTGGCGGTGCGCCAAACCCTGCTTCACTGACATGCCTCTGCCATCGTCTGCTGAACAGATTATAAATCGGCGCCTGAATGTCACCAAAGTTCAAAAAAGGCCAGGGTAGGTGAGAAATGAGTAGAAACAGGGAACGGTAGAAAATCAGGAAGGTAGCCAACCTGGCCCTTTCGTCGCTCTGTTTTTTCTGATAAAATCACTAAGGTTTAGTGAGAATACACGAAAACGGCAGTGAGGTTTGGATGGGAGAGTTATGGTTCCCCTGGATTCCTATTCAGCGTTCCTCCCATTGTCAAAAGCGATGCAGAAGGGGCTGTTCTTGCTATTTCGACTCATGGTGAGGTCTTCAGCCTTCAGTAGGGTTGAAATGAACGAAGTAGGGGGTTTATTATGATCGATGAGGTGGATTTATTGTTTGGCTAAGAAGTGCCCTTGAAAGTCCTTGTTGTTTTTAAAGGATTTGTGAGTCTCTGACAATATTTATGTTGAAAAAAAATGAAGAAACCCTCTTAAAAATGTGCTGTGCTTCAATACCCGTAATTTTAAATTTCTTTTCAAGGAAACTAGTACTCTGAAGACCCGTAGATTTGTCCCCTCTGTTGGGATCAGTATTTATTTGGAGAAGCCTTGATCTCAAAAGAACAGTTTCCAGCTGATGTAATCATAAAAACAAATAGCGAACTTCGGTACGCAGACTGATCTGAAAATAGATAGGATTTGAAGCGAGCGACAAGAAAAAGCATTTGATGAGAGATTAAGCCTGTGTTCATCACTACGGAGAATGGGAGAATGCTCCCCGCAATATTAGATGGGGCTCGTCTGGTCTCAATCTCCCATTACCTACTCTTTCCATCGCTAGCGAACAGAATCGAGGCAATGCCGGTACACCTTTGATGCAAATTCTCTTATTTCCCTAATCACCCGCGTCGCAAAATGGAATGCGTCCTAATAGGAAGCCTTAAACGCAGCGGGCACGATGGCTGGGGCGGGTGATTACTGCCAGTGTCATTGGTGGAAAAGCTGGGTGGGGTGTTGCCAGACCCCCTCTCGCAGCCGTTCCACCAATAACACTGGCAACAATTGCCCGCCTACAGCGATCGTGCCCGCTGCCTTTTAGAGCGATTACCCGAAAAATCATAAGGGCAACAATGAGTTGAAACTAATTTGAATGGATTTCGACCTTATCGTGTTGGTTCCGCATAATATAAAACGAAAGAAGCTGTGCGAAACGAGACGGGACTTTTCTATGGTACTTCAGGGTAGGTTTCCTAATGAGAAATTGTGTAGGAGGGGGTGTCACCCCTACTTGATGAGTCATGCTTTTTCACATGTCTCATAACGCCCACGATCGATTTATGAAGAGCTCCACGATAAAATAGGTTATTTCCAAAGATAATTGTGATTCACTTTTCAGGTTCACAATGGGCGAGTATGGAGCGTCGCTGGAGGAGCTTCGCGCCCTCATGGAGTACAGGTAAGTAGAATACGTACAACTTGTTTGCTACGACATACTTCAGAAATGCTCTCAAAGTAGGGCACTACCCATCGCTGCTGACGATTTTCGCAAAATGCAACCCTCCATCTCGATCTCATCCTATGGTACGCCCCACTCCCCCTTACCCCTTCTGCTTAACATCTTCCGATTTTCTTCAGCTTCCCACCACCTCCTTCTCATTTCCAAAAATTCTTCCAGCTCTTTCAAAGAAAAAAAAAACTGAAGAATTCCACTGCAAATCTGCCGTCGAGCGGATGGGGAAGTCGACAGAAAGGGCTGAGAGCTTCAATGTGCCGCCTAGGGATAGAGGAAGAAGACGACAACCAATCTCCCTTTCCTCCATAGGAGCGGCCCAACGTTGTGGATGGCGCGCGCGTGAACTAGGAAAATCAACTATCGAAAAAAATTTTCCTGGGGCATACGATCCTATCCCCTCCTGTGGAATCCCAGGTATACCGTGTCCTGTTCCAAAGGAAGAGAGTAGATAATAAATGAGCTATGCCCACCGTTGGGAAATCGATGACCATATGAGAGCTAGTCTGTACGGCTATTTTTTCGTAGATAGGGTTAAACTTTTAGGCCAGTC